TCAGACAGATTTGACCAACACTATATGTTGGCTTCTGATTAATAAACAAACTACTGTTTGGTTTCACTGAATCCAACAAAGCTATCTTGAAACAAATGCTCCTTTTCACAAATTAATTGCACTGGCCAGTCAATAACTCCACAGAGGCTGTCACTCCCATCCCACAAACTGAAGCTTGAAGGCAAGAAACTGAAGATTTTATGAAAACAGTGAGGGAACTTTTTATTATACTGTAAGGAAAGAAAAAATGGGGTAGTTGAAGTTTTCTGCTCATATTCAGAATTCATTTCGGTGAATAGATTCTCTTCCTAAGCCTTTCTCCTTCTCTCAAGGGACGGAGACAGACAACTCACAATGGATGGAGCAGCTCATGAGGCAGCTTTGAACCCTGAAATCTTTATTTAGTACCAACTACAGAATTTCTAATAAGCCCATAACCAGGGAAGTCAGTCTTGGCGGACACTAATAAATGTGAGTGAGTCACCTTAGATTTTTTTTTTTTTAAGGAAATGGCTTCAAAATGTTATGATCACGCAAAACAGTCCCTGTTAAAAAATTATTTTTCTAAAATCTTCACCTTGGCAAAAATTAAAGAAAAATTATTTCTGCTCCAAATGAGCAGCACGCTTACCTCTCTGATATTTTGAAATTGACAATGCACTGAAATAGAACACTTTTTATCCCAGACTCGGCAACACCTGATGCTGCCAGACAGACCACTTTTAACTTTATCAGACTTGTGACTCTGGGACTTATAATCAAAGCTCTTCTGCTTAAACTTTAAAGTTTTTCGTATTTTTTGTGTTTCTTATCACTGGAAAGCCAGTAGAGTAAAATGCCTATGCTTTGTTTACTTCAGGAAAAGACTTTACATTCCAAGACCCTCAACACTGAAAAATAATTCAGTTATTCTCTTATTAAGTTCTGCACCAAAGAACACCCACCAAAAGGAGCAGCTGTCAGTCTAAAGACCTATAGTGCCTAGTCTGAGAGGTCAGAAAGCTGAATGTCCAATCCTTCTGCTGTAGGCCTTCCTAAGGCTAAGACAAGCTTTTTGGTAGCTGGGAACTTCTAATCTTTTGAAATATGGCTGAGGCAAAGCCTGAAGTTCTGTGCTTTTTTTGCAGTGCCATGGAGATGAACATCCTCCATCTCATTCCCCTTCCCTGACCCCAAAGACAGACTGGTAGCTAGCTCACCCAAGTGCTTACCATCCCTCTGAGAGAGGCACATTTCTGCCTGCTATAATTCAAATGAATTAATCTTAGCTTTTTTCTCTATCATGAGATGGCCTGAAAGTATTCATATACCTATCTCTATGTGAAATCAGAAAGGCTGGAGACTTAGCAGTTGTTCAGTAATCAACCTCCACCACTGTCAACACAGCCAGCACAGTTTAGTTGAGATGAAGGTGAAAGCCCACACATTTTATGAAGTTTTTTTTTTAATGTCAGAACATCCAGACCGTCACAACTCAGTTCTAAAACTAGTGATTCTAGGAACCACTTTTCTACCAATGCTGATGGAAAAATATATTAATTGAGTTTTAAGATGCATGCTTAAAAGGATAAATCACTAAATTAGAAGTAAAGTGGCTGACTGTTTCTCTGAAAAGAAAAACAGGTTTGTCCTCGTTTAGGTGCAATTTATCACTTAATTCACCACTTCCCCATTACTTTGTAGAAAAGCTGTTAATTCCACTCACTCAGAAAATTTGATAAGAATAAGGCAGATGAAGGCCTTTGACCCATCCTCAATGGAATATCTGAGAGAAAAGTGTATTTCACAGAATGAATACAAGCATACGTGTCTTTAATATCTTTACCAATGTCACCATAAGATTCAAGCATTTCCCCTTGCAAGAACCTCTTATTATCAGACACTAAAAGGTTATCCGCCAGAGCATCAAAAGACTTCTGTAATTCTCATGTATGGTGATTAACTAGCCAGTGTAGCAGAAAAAAACTGGTTACATGGGGTCAGTGTAATCAAGTGTGTCAATAAGAACACATAAAACACAAAAACAGGGCAGCCAACCAATTTGTTGTAGAGCAGCATTTCTGGAGAACACAGCATTTTTGGAAGGAGGGAGATATCTGTTCATGCTTTATGGGTTAATCTGCATTTACTAAACTCCTTCCATTGTAATTCAGGAGCCTAAAGATGTATTTTCTGAACAGCAACAACTATCTCACTTAAGAGAAAAAAGATACTATGAGGAAGGACTGGCATTAGCCTTGACTTAAGTCGTCTCTCTGCAGTCAAGCTACAGGTTGACAGTGATTATTCTGCACAGAAACGTGCAGAGAATGAAGCTGCAACTTTTCCTGAAACGAGTGCATGCTAACCACCCTCCCACAGAGCAGAGCGAGGCAGATACATCCCCTGAGAGGAGAGGGGACTGCAATATCCCTAATATCCATAAAACCTAGGTACTTCACTACCAGGCACCATACAGGCCACAGATCTGCCCTAATGGGAAAGCAGAGAGTGTGGTGTTTAAGAGAGATGCCTGAATCTGATCTGTTTGGGGTTGGTCTGTTTGTTTGTTTGTTAGTCTGTTTTTTCTGAGAGAGTGTAATCATCACAGTATAAACAGAAATGGCTGCACTTAATCATGTGGCTGAAGTCTGTGGGGGATTCAACAGGATCAAACCTCTCTTCCTGGACTGTGACAGTCTGCATGACAGACAGCACCCATTTGGGCTCCTGGACGACAGCTATGGACACGCATACGCTGGGGGTTGGACAGGCAGTGCAATGACGCTGGAGATGTGGACGCTGCTTTGGGAGACTCTGGGCTCACTTTCAGTCTAAAGTCCTGTCAATAACGATTGCCAAAACTCAGTCTTAAGTGGGAAGATTGCATGAAAATGACTATTAGGTGGGTGCTACACTGAAGCAGAGGTCTAAAATTAGCCTGCAAGAAGGGTAAATCTCTGAGAAAAGAAAACAGGTATTAGAAATCTACTGGATGTACTCAAATGACAGCATTGTGTGGAGGACCTGTCAGAAGGATGGAAACAGATCCATCTGACATACACTCTAGTTGAAGATTAGCCCAGTATTAAGCTATGCTTACTGCACTAAAAATGAAAGAAAAAAGTTTTCCAGTTTTGATTCATTGTCTTCTTGAACGTCTACGTACAGATGGCAATGAAGCTTGATGCACAGAGCCCAGCACTGTCCCTGACCACATCTTCTGTAGACTGAGGCTGTATAGCCAGTATAACAGCATAGCATAACCCAAGGAACAAACTTTACCAGCTTGCATCCAATGCCAGACAGATGTGATTTCTCTGCTTCTGGGCCCAGGCTACTACTTCCACAGGGACTGCAATGGACAAGATAGGCACACCAGCCCCATGCAGCACCAGGCTGAGGGTCTCTGCTCCCAAAAACATTATTTCATGTTCTCTCTCATCTTTCATTTCCTGTGTTAACATAGGCCATGGGAACTACAAAACCGGCACTGCTCATCTCCCAGGGACAGAGACTGTTACCATGTTCCGAAGATGATGCCAATCCATTTTCTCATAGAGTAACTACGGAAAATGCTTGGGCCTCTGAAAGGAAAGAAAATTTTGATCCATTGAGTGGAGGTGATCCATGCTGGGTGGAGAAAACCCCGAAAAGTTTCCAGTACTCTTTGCCAGAACAAGGCTTTAAATATAAGATCCAACTAAAGAGCAACAATCTTATTACTACTCGCCAACCTAAAGCCATATCACCGATCAAGTGACAAACTGCTCACTAACTTTAGTGATATTGCATCTAGAAACGGTAATGGCACTCAGATTCCCTACCTTTTTTGTGGGAAAAGTTGGAGAAATGTAGTATTTCATGTTTTTATTTGCAAAACCTGTATCACTGCAGCTTGAAATAAAAACATCTTAACGTTCACCTGAGTTTCAATACTGAAAATAAAACTGTTACCGCAGAGGATTTTCATAAGTACATGCCAGAATTAAATTCAAATTCCGTATTCATTTTCAGAAAGTGTTCTATACCAAAACCTATAGCCTCTTTTGCAGACCTCTTTGATATTTCTTATCAGTTTCTGCCACTGCAGACAAAAACTTATAATGGATTATGACTCTTTTCTGCAGCAATCACCTCTCACAATAACATACATCTTGCACAGCTCTAATCAACTTTTGAAAGGGCTGCAAAGCAAAGTTAAGATAAGAAACAAGTAGTAAAGACAACAAAGAAATAAAGAGAAAGAAATACAAGATACCCAAATTACAGAAAGACACAGTCTGACGAGCATTATATCAATGTAATTAGAATTGCAGCAAAGCTAGCTGTTGGTGAAATTTTTAACTTTCTGTACCGAAAAAGGAAAAAGGCCAATGTTTTGCTAATCAATGACTGTAATAATCTATTCAGAATTGTATGTATTCAGCTAATTGAATACTTCAACCTGCTGAGACCAGCTGTGTTGTAGCTGGCTTATAGGATAGTAAAGAAAACCAGGCAAAGAAAGTTAAATGCATGCCACTGTCAACAATAAAGATTACAAATAAAGAAGAAAGAATATTCATAATTTTGTTAAAATTGAGTATCTTTCTGCTCTTCTATGTCTGCTAAAGCCCTTTAGCAGTTCATCTTCTATAGCAGCAAATAATCCCGGATATGTGGCACGTCTGATCCAGGTTTTACTCCAGCTTTATCCTAGTTATTTTATTTCTAGTTATAGATCACCTTTGCATTTAGGCCTCTCTGGAATCACACAATCCACAACCAATCACCGAAACGCGTGAGCTATTGTGACAGGTTTAACAAGCTCTACCCCACAATCTTTCATCGTGATTAGTTCAGAATAATTACCACTGGAGATAACTGATGAAGATTATATTAGGCTAGGGCAAAATGGAGAGTCAGCTAAGTGTAAATCAATTGCAGCTGAAAAGAGAGGAAAAGGGACAAAGAATTATATCAGGGCTATTACTATTACAGAGCTACGGTAACGAATTCAAATAATTTCTTATACTTACAATAGCTGTCGGAGTTGAAGCCAGCACACAGTACAGCACAAGAGGGGAAATAAAGCTCTCATCCTCTGTTCCCGGGTACGGTTTCATCAAATTCCCATCCTGACAGAAGAAACCTTGGATATGCACCTGAAAAGTGTCAGTGCATTCGAAGTAGTAGGCGAGCAGAACAGTCCCGGCCATGATGACAAGCTGAAAATACAGCATGGTCACACAGAGACATTAGTTGCTTTTTTCATGGACGCAGCTGTGCCTTCGAGCTACTCTAGTCCCACAGAACATCCTCCCTTCACTGTCACCCTGACAGCCCTTGCTATATTGGTGTGTGCGTGCGTGTGTGTGTGTGTGTGCGCGCGCGCGCGCGTGTGTGTGTGGCCACTTCACAACATCTGTTACATAAACCTTTTGGCAAACGACACTAATGAACGTCTCGGATAGGAGTGGGTCCATAATAGGGCTTGTAGAGGGATGGGAGCTCTGACAGCTACTTTATCAAAGGCCATGTGAGTGTCACCAGCAGCAATGATCAATGCAAACTAGCAGGATGAGGAGCGGCACTGCAGGAACTGGCAGTAACAAGCTACAACCTATGCACAGCAGTATGGTGTTGGGAAGGTTTATCACAAAGCGTAGAGGAACCTAGAGCCAAAATGCTTCCCAGCTGCAGCTGCAAGCCCACGCTGGTGCATGTGCACACCACGCTAACCCAGAGGAACCCTCTGGGGCTCAGATAAAGACCCCTGCGGAGGGAAAGCCGCCCCCTGCCACTCTCCTCTCCTCAGAGCTGCTGCTTCAGAGGGAGGCGCTACAATGCTGTTCAGAAGTCCTGCCTCTCCAAATAACTGCTTGGGGCAACTTCTGCACTGACTGACTCCCCTGCTACATCACAACCTCCTTTGAAACAGACTCTGACTTGAGTCTGGCTCTTCATCTTTATGCACAGAAACTGCCTTTCTTGTCTCTTTTTTGATAGTTTATTGATGGCTAAATGGGCTGACTGGAAAGCCTCAACTATCAAACTTTCTTTTTTTCTTTTGCATTTATCCACATTTAATCTACTCAAGTTGTGTCAGTGTCTGTGTCAGTTTCCTACACTGCTCCAAGGACACAACTCAAAACCACCTCACAAAGGTTGTCACGAACCTCACCTCCTGAAATCAAGTGGATAAGCTAATTCATCTTTCTTGTTCCCTTTCTGCTAGACTGCAAAGGAAATACCATATCACAATCCTAATCACTTACAAAAATAGCAACATTGGTTTGGAAATCCGGGCAATTACAGGTTTCGCAAAATTCTCTTGCTCCCCAGACTGACTTTTGATCAGAGCCAGATGAAAGCAAAAGTTGCCTGCCTTGTACCTATAAGGCACACCATTTAATAGATTGAGCGCCTTCGTTGCTTTAGTTCTGATACCATTTTACATCCACTTTGCCCTGATGAAACTACTGTACGAAAACTACAGAAAGCAAGAATCTCAGATTCAGAATCCTCTTGAGAGTGCTTCCTACCACTATTACAAAAATTGTCACTTATACTTTACCGAATCTTCCAAACCTTAGTTAAAAAAAAAAAGGGGGGAAGGGAGAATGGAAGGAGAAAAAAAGTGAAGGAACAAAATACCAAACTGGCTTCTTTTTAGTATTCTCCCTGCAAGTTATTTGCATCAAAACTGTGTTGCCACAAGATACATTTTAAATAAATTATTTTGGTAACTACTTCTCAAAGATTAACTTAAAAGTGATTTTTGCATTCCTTTGGTCTGATCTTGCACTTAGCCGTGATGCAGAGGAGAGCCATCAAATTACAGTGAATGTGAGTGAATTGCTGGACCAAAATTAGAAAAAACACATAACCAGATAAATCAATGATGAAAGTAGAAGATAGACTTCAGCAGAGCCAAGAGAAGCCAAAGCTGATTGATCCTGTATTTTGCCTTCAAAATTAACAAATGCCATTTTACATACAGATTCTAAAGGCCACAGATTAATTCTATAGCTGGAAAATATGGGCAACCTGAATTTTTTAATGTCTTTTAGCCAAATAAATTAGCTGTGTGGATCTACTTTAGTTGGTTACAGAATTATGCTACCAAGTGAAACTTATACAGGCAAAGCACATAGCCTCCTCTTAAAAACTTAAGCAAGCAGGACTCCACACAACTATGTTCCCAGAAACAGGTACATTCTCCTTCCCCTGCTGTAACTTACAGTGTAAACGTAATACATCAGCATAAAACATTAATCAAACATTTGTTTTCTGAAGCTTTTTGCTTTGCTTCCTTTAGGTGATTCAGTCAGTCTGAGATCCAAAACTTCGAACTCTACCGCCCTGCAAGGAACTGCAAGATACACTAATCATTTACTCAAAACTCACATAATTTACAAGTGAGCTAATCTCTCCAGGAGTTCGAACAACTCCACTACTCTGTTGTCCCAGATCTGGAGCTGCATCCCGATGAAGCGACAATGCGCCGTGTTAGAGCGCAACTACCCCTCCCATCTCAAGCGCAAACCGTGGCAGAGCACAACTCCCTTATTTTGGGCTCCAGCTGACCACAAGTAACTGATAGTGCCCAGGGCTGGCCAGAAGGAACTAGGCAATACTGGTTGCAAATGGTGAGGCCAGAAATGGGCATGAGATCAGCAAAAAGGGGTATATTTTCCCCTACATGGCACAAGGTCAGCAAAAAAGGTATCTTTTCCACATCAAGTATTGTATGACCATGAGTCAAACTCCGTACCCACAAATAGCGCCGCAGCCTAGAGCCAACTGAGCTCTCCTGCACAGCAGCTGGCTGCACAGCGATGAATCTCCCCTTGAGCTGGGATGCCTCTCAAGCACTTGAGGTTGAGAGACTCCTTACCCATGACAGATCCTCAGTAAGTGACTAATAGCGTGCTGAAACTTTACTCCTCGAGGTCAAGAGACTCCTTACCCGCAACAGCTTCTCAATAAGAGACTAATAGCATGCTGGAACTTCGCAAGCTTATGCTAAGTTGTATCTTGGATGGACTTAAACTGTTGACCAAGTGTGAGACTAAGAAGGAGTTTGGATAGCAAGGGGCTCTGCTCTGAACTCCGTGACTCAACCGGAGAGTCTCCTTGACAATTTCATCTGACCCTGTCCTCTATGCAGTAAATAATCAAATGTACCATGCCATCAATCCCCATTACCCCACTGTCTTATTTACCATCAAATTTTGTTAAATCACTAACTCAACTCTAATAAAGCATATTGCTACTTCTCTCTTGCGAGTGAAGTGCATCACTCATCCGCGACAGGCTGTTCCTATGAAAAAATTGTATCTGCCTAGTAACTGGAAAACCTTGGAGATTTACTATACCGCTGACTGTGCTGATCAATGCAAGGGTCTGAATCATCCTGCAAATCCCTGCCCAAGCAACAGAGAGCAGAAGGTCTGTATCATATGGCTCAAAAGCATTTAGATAGGCTGTGAGACAGAGAGTTTAACTTCTTTTACACAGAAAATCGATTCTTGCCATATTGCTAGCTTTTACAAAGGAATCACAGAATAGCCCAGAGGGATTCAAGGGTTCCCAACCCCTCTTTGGGCTTCCTTTCTCTTTGGTTATCCAGGTATTCGCCTTACCATTAGCATTTCATACCTATGATTTAGAAGCAGCAGAAAGCTCTCAGAAGCTATGATTGGGATGAGTGTATTACAGATATATAGACAGGTATGATTTCTATCCATCTCAAAACAAAGAGAGGGGGGTAAAACAATTGTCTTTCACCTGACGTATGATCAAACATCACCATTGTAAGTATACTCTTTCTCAGTCTCTCCGTTCGTTTTGAGTCTATTTTGTACATTTCTTCCGCTTAGTCTTCAGAAGTCTGAAGGAGGGCAGGTGTCTTATCCTTGGCCTCACCACCAACTACAGCCCACAACATCTAAGGCCTATCCATACTTAACTCCTCTTTAGGTACCCGTGTCCTACTATATGTGGACCATACCTCTAATACAGAGGAAACTATTTTCCTGTAACACCACATCTTGTTCATTAGAGACCACCTTATGTTTCTGGCAAAAAAACAAGCTAGGTAGTTTCAATAAATCTTACTTTCTCCTGTCATAGCACATAGGAAACCAAAAATCTATTAAATCCTAGAACAGAACCACATTCTGAACCTATAGCCCTACTGATTTACAGCATAGTAACTTGCATCATAATTTTATGTTTTGGGTATATATAAATGAGGAATTAAAAGCTTTACACATTTATTTTTAAAAAAAGCAACTTTAATATTACAAATGAAATACGAAAATGAGTTTTCTTCAAAAACATTACAATTCCTTAAATGTAAAAGCATGGGTTCATATATCTAATTGTAACTTAATTTGGATATTAAATCTATGATGAGATATTTGGCAAAGTTACCTAAATCTGAATTAGAGACATTTGCTCCAGAAAAAGAAAGTAACTGAAAGAGTTTGTCTAGGACATTGAAGGACACGAGTCAAAATCCACTAAAGATGAGTCATTTTAGAGATTTCACAAGGGCTAACACAGTCTCTGTGAAAAGCACAGTGTTTATGTTTTATCTCTCACCCTACCTGCGGCAGTTGCTGCCCCTTCACATCCTTTATCGAATCAAGTTTTTTCCTGTGAGCAGTAAAGCACATATAAGCCAACTTAGAAGCTGTGATAGTACCATCAAGTCACAGCTCCCAAGTTTTTCCCTTCAGTTAGCAGGTGGCAGAGCAGGGCCTTTGTAAACTCACAAGATTTTTTTCTATATATTTTTTCCTATGCAGTATCTACCTCTAAAGGTGGGTGAAAAAATGTATGTTCCCCCCCCCCCTCCTTATTTTAGCTGGATCATATAATAGTAGATGAATTTAGGTGAAAATTCTTGATTTTTTTACCTTTCTAAGTGTATATCAGAAAAAAAAATTATTCGTTCAACTTTCCTTGTTTTTCCTGACATCTTCAATACCCAATGTTTACGTGAAGGGAAATTTTTTAATAAACTTAAAGCAAGATGCTGTTGTGTCAGGGAGCATCACATCATCCTGGATTATTTTTTAAGATAAAAATAGTCCTGTAATTAAACACTTAGAAGACCTTAGCTTAGCTGCCTTCATAGTTATAGATTTCCTGATCAACCTTGAGCAAGGCATTTAATTTTATAAATTAACCTTAGAGAAGGGCAATGGCAGTATCA